TTAATTAATTAGTTATCTCGAGAAAACGATCTTTGTTATGTCGAGATAACGAGATAATAAGTCGTTATCACGATATAACAGTGCATAAATAAAAAAAAATCCATGGTCGTTCTCGGCTTCCGTAATAACACATTATATAAAAATGCATCTATTAAATTTGACAGCATTAGACACCATCCCCTCTAGATACGCCCCTGGTTAATGGTGCTAACTGCTAGCAGGTGAAATGACTCTTTGAATTATCAGAATTAAATGCATTACATCCAATAACAAGTCTTAAAAAAACATTCATGTGTGCGGGGAACCAGCAGGCTCAGCTAAAAAGGGACTCAGTCTTTAGTCTTTCAGCCTGCTCTGCATGTGCCATGAGCATTTTTTAAATAAAATTCACACTTTTTAGACTATATTTAAGACACTCAAGCACAAAACCTAGTTGTCTAATAATCGTATTATCTTCTGTTGTGATATATTGTTATAAAGACATAATAAAACACAAATACCAACACATCACATGACCAGCTGATCCCGGTACAGTGTGGGAGAACTGACCTAATTGGTGCTGCTGTTTAAGCTCTGTCACTCCTTCACGCCATACGTTAGATTATAAAACTGGTTGAGATATTTACTACAATGTAGACACAAATTATAAGACATCCCCACTCCCTGTGTAGACATAAAGTTAAAAGACAAAACTTCCTTGTTGCTGGAATGCATGTCAATAAAATAATATGAGACATTATAAAATAAAAATGGTTTGTTGTGGGAAAAAGTTGTGAACCCTTTCATCAAAGTTGTGACAAACTGAACACACTGCTTCATCCCTGAGTCACATGTAAATGCTCGCTAATTGCTGAACTTAAGTACAAAAACACTGGTATGCAAGTGTCACAGTTCTCTAAATATTGCATGTCTCCATTTTGTTTTACTTCGACCTACTGATGAGTTGCCAAAGCATCAAATATAGCAGAATGAACCTGTCTCAGCCCAAATGACGCGGACTAAATTTGGGTAAACTTTTTCAGATGTAACTAACAATTATTCCTGAACAAATAAGCTTTGAATGTAGCACTTGAAGCAATGTACTTGCTTTGAATAAAAACATCAATTAAAAAACATATGTGCAGCTAAGCGGCACCTTTGCTTGCAGCCCTAAGAAACTGTCACTGTTATAATGCAAGTAACACTGCACCTGCTCTGTTTGCAGCTGTTTCTCCACCACTTTAGGGATCATGGCATAACGTTCAGGCATCCAGGGCAGCGAGACATTCACAAACTCCATGTCTTTGGTCTGGAATACATTCCTTATTCCTGGAGAAGGGACATATGTATGTTATTTTCACTTTTCAATTATTGTGCCTGTGCAACCATAAAAGTTTGTGTTTTTCAATTAATATTTTAAAAATTATATCTCGACACACACCTAAAACATCAAGGTCCACTTTGAAGTTAAGAAAATGGGTGTGGATATTTCCGGTGACTTTTTCTGCGACTTGGTGACCGAATGGAAAGCTGTTGGACAGTGTGAAGGAGGAGGCAATGTAGCCGGAGGCATGCACCTTGGCCTCCACTGAGCCGCTCTGGTAGAAAATGAAATCCCACATGTAGTCATAGTTTCCTATAGCTGTGATCGTCCTGAACACTAAGGCACTGTTTGCTAGTCCTCCATAACTCCTGTAGAAGTCCTCTGAGAAGTGCCTACGTAGAGGGTGGCCCATGTCATGCTCAAAGATGCAAATTGAGTTTCTGAGCTGGCGTGGAATACCAGTGTCCAGGAAATGGAAAGTGTCTATAAAGGTGGCTGAATACGGGCAGTCGACCCCCCTGACCAACTCATACGCAAACCGACCAATGCCCAAGCTGCCATCCAGGAACTTGGTGAGCATGGTATTTGGGGTGGCGGACCCATAGACTGACATGGCTTCCTGAACGCTTAGCTCATAGATGATCCTGTCCCCTCTGAAGCGAACGTCAAAAACTCTCATGCCTCTAAGCGCGCTCAGACCGAAGGCAAAGCTCCAGTCAAGGTATACAATGTGATTTTTCTTCAAACTGAATCTCTTGCCTTGTACATAAAACTGCTGGGGTCCAAAACCCGTGGGTTTCTGCTTGGGTTTCAGTGATGCGTAATTTGGCACAGGTTTGTAGAAGACTTTTGACACAGTTCCTGCCTCATATTGCTGTTTTAGTTCTGTGGGACTGTCAAAGTACTGGCCGTTATAAAAAATTTTGATCACACGCCAGGACAGAAAATTGGTGCTTTGGTGGTCGATTAAGATCTCAAAGCCCACTGGGTGGATGTAGAAGCCCTCCTCATTTCGACATAGTGAAAACCAGGTCTGTCTGTCCCCTGACTTGACTCCTCTGGGCATGCTGTCATAGAAAGGAGGGTATCCAGATGCATCTATACCAAAACTGTCATTCAGCAGCGTACTGAGGGGCTTAAGTACATCCTGCAGAAATTTTGCTATAAGAATGTGCTCCCCAAAATATACCGGACGTGCAGTCAGTGGAAGATCCCTTTTATATCTCTCAGTGGTGACATCGTGGTGGTAGGTTGCGTTGGGGAGAGGGCCCACTATATACTCTTTTATGTGGTTCTTACTTCCATAAAAAACCACCACAGTCGCCTCTCTTGCTGGTTTTGGTCCGTTGGCATCTAGATGATGCAAAACATCCTGTTTTTTTGGCAGGGACAGGTCAATCAGATACAGGTAGTCAGCTGAAGGAGGTGAAGCCGGATCAAAAGAGAGGCCTGGGATCTTGGACATGTAGTCCCGCACCTGTAGAAACTCTTCCAACGAGAGGTCAGCAAAGACGTCACTGCGCTCATTGTGCACCGCAGTTTGGCTCGAGTTAACCTGTTGAGCAGGGCACTGTGGAGTGTGTTGAGTGTTGAGCCATATCAAGACGCAGTTACCTATCAATGAGGCAACAGCTGCAAGAACCAGAACGCATTTGAGGATAATCCAAACAGTTCGAGAAACCATTTTGCTGCAGATGTACAACAATTATAGTTGAGGAGAAAGATTTTAGCTGTTTAAGGAGGCTGTGTAAAGGGGCAAGGCCAGTGATTTCAAAGACTGCTTTTACAACCTGTGAGGTGTTTCCTTTGATAAGAGACAGATAACAGAGTACCCATGTATAAAGTTGCTGTGATGAATATTGGGTAGGACATGAAACAACAATTTATACAATAGGTAGCAAGAACCTTGGGATTCAGGTATGCATTTTCTGAATGTTTAAGCACTAAACTACAAGGCGCCATACTTGAGTCATTTTAGAAAAACGTTCAAAATCTGGGTTATAGTTTTAGTCTGGAGTCTTCCTAACTAGGCTAGCAATGGAATCAAATCACAGACATGCCAGCATGGCTGATGGCTTTTATTGAACAGCATGGCTCAGTTATAAATCTATTCTTTGATGAATAAATAACTGGGGTTGGTCCACAAATGAAAGTCTGAAATGCTGTGACAAAATTATATGGGTAGAGATAATCAGTTATGAATGCCGAAAGATCATAAAATTTAACAGCAACATTCAAGTAATTCTTTTGTTCCAAGTTAAGATTCTTATCATTAAAAACTGCTTGTGTGGCATTCAAAAGTTCAAAAGGCCAATTGACTCATCGCCCAATGCAATCACAATCTACTATGTGTGCAAGAGCTTTGTTTTATTATAAACCAATACATACTAGCCAACAACTTCAACCAGGTGCTGAGATTGTCAGATGTTGTCATAACACCTGCTGATATACAGTATGTAAAGCCTCCCTATGAGCTGTAGGTGAAACTCATTCACGATAAGCTAGGCGCACACCTATATATTGTTTGCAGTCACATTGAATGCAGAAATTCACAATGAGGCAGGGAGTCAAATGCAGAATATGAGACGGACAGAAGAAAGCCCATACTGTGCTCTTTATTGTTAATCATTGTGTAGTCCAAGTCAAAACATGTGAAATCTGGAACCTACTGAAACCTATTTTGTGGTCACAGTTTCCTCCACAGACCACATAATCCTAAAAAAAAAGGAATTTGTGGCAAGAAATTCCCTCAAGGCATTCCTGAGAAATCGCATTCACAAGAATGAGACGGACGTACTGGCCTGAAAACATATTGCCTCTGGCCACGGCTATCAAAGGTGTGGAGGCATGAAAAATGGTAATTAATCATCATTACAATTTCTACAAAGCTAAAAATACAAGGACAAATTCCACTGCTAGAAAACAATGATTTTATCTTGTAAAATAATGATTCCCAGAAAGAAAGGGAGGTTCACTGTGTGGTAGTGTGTGGTAATTTGATAAGATAGATACTAGATGCCAGTAAATCCCACACACTGGTCCTTTAAGGCCCTGTGTTGTAGAGGGTTTTAACAATCTAGTTTTGATACCTTTTGATAGTTTCACTTGATGTAATGCTTACACAGTGCATATTCCCAAATATATCGAAGTGCAATCATATAATAGCAAAATATCACAAGCTAACTTGGGTATATGGGGGGAGTGGGACAGGCCCATGATACAGACTGGAAGGATGAATGAAGCCGTGCAGACTTTTGGCCATCTGTTTTTTAATGTTTGTATGACAGTGGTGTACATTCAAGTGCATTTTTGATCAACAGGATGTAGTTCTGACAAACATGCTGACAGCACAGTTAATGCCTCCCTTTCCCACAATGCCAGGCCTGCCCTGGCAAATTAACTTTCTGCCAAGTACATGATGCTTTTGGATTTTTTCCAGATGTGATGGTTAATAACAACCAAGACCAATTGCTGCCACGTGAAAAGCATGTTCATCATGCAATTCATCAAGGCTCTGACATGGTTCATGTGAAGTCTGTGCTTTTGTGTCAACACACATGGTTTATACTGTCGTCTTGATAATCAGACAGTATTACTAGTTATAGATGGTTCTGCAATGTGATGCCACTTAATCCTACTGGTCCTTTAATCCCAAAAGTTTAAAAAATAAACTTTGACTACTCGGCTATGGATCAGAGCAGAATCCAGCATGACATACCGGTGTTTACTCCTCCAGACACTCCAGCTCTGCCCCTGCTATCTCTTCCAAGGGCCCCAGCCAGGAACTCTGGCACTAGCAGCTGTGGCATAACGTCATAGCTGTTATCTCTTCACATTCTGTTAGAAATGTTAGTTCATTTTTCAAATGTTTAAACATTAATGAATGATAATTCTGGCCAAATTTTACACATTGCTCCTTTTATACAGTAATCAGATGCCCATGACTGAAACAGTTCTTGGTGGCGTGACTAACCCGCTAACAACCTCATTCCACTAGTTGAATATTATACAGCATCTTGTCAAATACTTGATCGTCATTATGAATGTGCTTGCACTATGCAGTTGCATAAACAAGGACACAGTATAAACAATCAGCATTACCAGAAAGAGAGGTCAATCCCACTTCGTCTCTCTGTCTGGACTCCGGAGAGTGTCCAGATTTTGCATGTCAGACTTTGATCTGATTGAACTTTGCACAAAGCAAAGGCTGGGTCTGACAGTAATACTTCTTGGAGAAATGTCCTCATAGAAATGAATGCTGAGTAAAATCGGGTGTGACCGCAGCCACGGTTTAACTTAACCCTAAATTCTGCTACCTCCCTCCCTCCCAGTAAATGTAAAAAATGCCACAGTGTGGTGACGATAGCTGCCATGATGTACGTCACCTGTCTCCAGATCAGTCAATAGTTAAATTCAATTGCAATAGTCAGTTTCAACTGGGTTTCCACCGTGGACAAATGGTTAATGAGACTGGAGCATGCTCCGAAAAGGTGACCCTTTAAATGTCAGTGTCAAGAACAATCTAGTGTCTAACAAAGAGTGTGACAGAAGAACCTAGTCAATTCTTGAGTAGGAATTATGTGTATTTGAATAGATTGTATACTCTTCTAATAATCTCTTTTTTCAGCTGGTAAAGGGTGACCAGAGAGGTCTACTGAGGCATTGCTTACTAAATTAAAATCGCTCATCAAGTGGGCTAAAAAAAAATGTTTTCTTCATGTCAAGATCAAGAATCCTTCTTTAGGAATCGAGTTGCTTATTGATTAATTGTGCAGTCCATCTCTGTATATTAGGCTAATTGCTACACTACAGTGGAAGAACTACAGCTGTTTTCTGAAGCACTGAGGAAAGCTGTCTGTATCCTTTTTGAGAAGTAGGTCCCTTGACAGTTTCAGGCCAACCAGTGGAGAATTGAGTGGAGTTGAAGTTTTAAATTTCATTTCATGGACAGTGGTGTGTCCATAAAGTTTCAGAGGCAGGGGCAAAATCTGAACAAAGCGAACCTTCTCTGGGTCAGCAACACAGAGCAAAGAAAAGAAAACCAGGAAAACCATTTAAAAACAGATGGTAAATCCTGGGAGAGGTACAGGATCTAACTCCAGATAACCCAGACAGGAAGGGAAACCAGCAGGAACCTCTGAGCTTCAGTCCCTGCAGAGAAGCAGATGGGGGGCAGGCAATGTAGGTGCTCTTTTTAACACCAGCGTGCAATCGGGGTACTTATGGGAAAATAGTCTGAGGTCAGGTCCCAGAGTATTGGAGAGGTTATGTGCCAGAAAGCATGTCAGTAACTGCAAAATAAGGCCAAAACCAAATACAGAGGAGGAGCCCACAACTCTGCACATCTGTAGCTGATTGTGTGTATGTGTGAGTAAGACTTTATGTCACTATGTCATTTGTATAGCTTTCTCTGGCTCACTATGGATCCAGATGGCTGGGGTTTTACATATAGAAAAGTGAGCACCATTCATGTTACAGGATCATGAATTGTTTTGTGATTATAAACTCCCAAATTATCACATACTCCAAAATGAAAGCTAAGAACTGTAGGTCAGTGCTGTTTGAACCACAGCTGTTTTGTGTTTACGTTGGTTTGTAAGGGTTCTGAGGAAGAGCTTCAGAGTCACTGTTTCTGGGTTACCTGATATTCTCGATTTCAATCAGGATCATATTGTTGAAGGAGTGAAGTTTATGCAGTTGTTGTTCTCATTTGTTTTATGTTTTAATATTAGAAAGCAATGATAGAAAAAACAAAAACACAAGGAGGATTGTGAGGAATATTGTCATATTATTATATTATATTCTTTCTGATAAAAGATGCCGAGTAGCCCGCAATTACTTTTTATTTGAACCTTTTTATGATGCTCTCTTTTATATATTCTTATCATGCTTTTATCTTAGTTATTTATTAGTCTTCATGTTCTCTTTTCCATCAGAAAGAGAGAGGTTTGAAAGTATTAGTATAAGAATGTTTTGAGAATGTTTAACATATTAATCTATATAATCCTTTTTTATAACTTTGATAATTTATCTTTTTACTTGGTTTTGTTTATGGTTTATTCACGTTTTCATTATTATTTTATTACTCATGTATGCTCAACCTAAGTATGCCTTATTCATTTTATGAGCATTTAACCCTATCATATAACCATTTTATTTGTTTGTTGTAATCTATGTTACTATACATTCATATGTGATTCAAGTATATCAAGTATGTTGCCTATTAAATGAGATAAGTTTTTGTTTTTGTGATTGTAACCGGCTCTGAAGCCATCTAAAATGGCTGGCGAAGACCAGTGTTAACATTAATCTGAAATGGCTGACAAGTAACATCTTCAGCTAACACCTTTAGTATGACCACAAAACTGCACCCAGAAAGCTAAAGATAGAACAGCTCTAGCCTGTGGAACTGTGAAGGTGCATCCTGTACTGTGTGTGTGTGGGGGGGGGTCAACCACAGAACAAGGAGTGAAGAGTGGTCTTCAACCACAATACGAGGAGTGGAACATGGTCTGCAACCACAGTACCAGCAGTGGTAAGCTGTATAAGTGGAAAGCACTCCATAAAGGGAAGCATACTCATACGCAAACTTGAGCATGTTTATGTTTTTTTTTTTTCTCTGTTCCTGTCAGAGGCTTAGACCACCACGGTGCTCAAGTGTGGCGTACAGGGTCGATTCCTGGCATTTTTGCAGACTTAGAAAATTACTGACAAGAAACAGTTTTACACTGGGCAGTGAGAATTGAAAGTTTCATTTAACAGTGAGAACTGTGGTCAGTCAGTTTACATATTTTTAATTATTAAATCGTGCATGAAAATTTAGACCCGATCTTAAACTTAAAATTTTAAACAAGCCTATTTGGTAGAACTGAACAAAGCCGGTTCAATTTGTAAATTTTTATTTATTTTTTATTTTTTACCTTTTATTTATTATTTGCTTTGTGAAATCAAACATATTACTTGAGCCCCTGTCAAGTGTTTTTAATTCTCAGAAGGACGTCCCGGAAACATTTCTTAAAAAGAGGACATTCAGTACGGTAGAGTTGCAACATTGGCACAATGACTGTCTCAACAAGTTTTTAAAGCTTAAAGATTAATTGCTGTGAGTGCACAATAATAACTGAGGTTAATTCAGGTGAAGAGAAACTATAAAGGAAGGAATCTCTGTCTGTCTTTAAGTCTCCTTCGATTTTCATGACAACCGTTCATCCGATAGGTCATGTGCTCGTACAGATGTTTGCAGCACATGCAGTCGTGTCTCTCTGACAGACTGAAGCTGAGCTGTGGAAGTCTGCTGAGACCATGGGAGAGCCCAGTCACATGTGCTATTAACCATCTGAAAAAGTCAACATATTACCTAAATATTAGTCCCAATGTCTCTAAAGGATACAACTAAATGGCCACAGTCTGTCTCACTGTTATAATGACTGATCGCTGTTCTCTTTTGCTTTCCTGTTAGCTACGGCTATACTTTAAGTGTAGAATATTTGACGTGAGGCAGCAGCAACACATCTTCGTATTTCTTCCAGAACTACCAAATGTCTGACTGCACACCACTGAGTCCACTGTTACCTGAGCCAAAGCTGTGAAGCATGTCAGTGCTGCCCTCTAGTGTCAAACGTAGAGACTGCAAAAACAGCCTCCATTCAACAAAACATTTCACTACAGAACGGAGTAAACACTAGTGAGAAGAGCCAGTGAGAATCAAGCATTAGTAGTAGTGATGTGCTGACCTGTACTGGTCTGAAATGATCTGTTAAAATGGGTGAATGCGGCAAATTTAACCGAGTTGATTGACAATTACACTTAAAATTAGAATAATAAAATATATCAGAGCCCGTCTGTACAATATTTCTTGTTAATATCAGTATATTTTAAGTGTAAATGGCATTTAGGATGGGCCAGCATATTGCAAGAACTATTTTCATATTTTTCTTAAAGTTGTATAAGTTGTTTTTGATATTGAGGTCAGAGATTTTATTTTAAAATAATACAGTGTACAATGTACAGATGCTAGTGTGTTTAGGCTAGCAAAAGTGCTATATAAGCTCAATTTAAGGCAGTTCTGTTCTTCTGATATTAAAGGTATGGCATAGCAGTATGACATAAAGTGTGTTTTGCAATAACTGCAATATACAAGGTTAAAGCTGCATTATGTGACATAAAAATAGAATATTTCATTTTAAGTTAAATATACTTACTTATGGAACTCTATCAGAGGTTGACACTAAGCTAAAAAGTTAAAAAGGTGATATTTCATGATTGGAATATAAATTGTGTTTAGTTCAATTAAATATTGATAGTGCAATATGTCATCAGAATTTGAAAAAATTGTATTATTTTTATTTTTGTTTCCTTTTATAGCTCTTAAAGTGTGTTTAAAGTACGTGCACAGTTTTAATGGAGCTACAGTGTTGTCTTATTTGCTCATCAATTAACAAATCGTGAACCATCAGTTATAGAGTCAGTGTCGGGTAAAAATGTTCAAACCCGGGGCAGAAAAAGGTCTGGAAATCTCTTGACAGAATTGCTAAAGTAAAGTTTGGCAATGAATTGGAATAAATAAAGTTCCAGTACTAGCAAAAGAAAGAAATTCAAGCTAAGCTAAGAAAACGAGCAGATAGAAAGAATGTATTTTAATGCAACTGTAGAGTTCAGGTCTGCTCATTTTAAAGGAGACAATAGGCTCAAATACTACACTACACTACTACTACTATCACTCAGTACATTAACTAAGTACATTTTTATACATGATCTCAACTGTGATAGATTAATTTAGCTTGCGCAGATCTGAGAAATGTGTCAGCTAAATAAAGGCAACCCATATCTCACATGCACAGACACACACACAGGAAGTGACATGCAATTTAAAATCCTACAATAAACTCAGGAGGTGAAAACAGAAACTGTTTCACCTTGTTTCATTTTCATTACATGCTGTGGGTTCTGACGCAGGACCCCACCAAACTGTTAGGCTGCTGGTAGTTACACATTTCCTCTGGAATGTTACGCAGCACAAACCTGCAACACTTTCTTGATGATTAACTGTGAGAGTCAAGGAGGCCTTGAATTAAAGGGTCATTACTCTGTGAACCTCTGAATAACTGGGCGGCATACCTCTGTCCCATCTCTCATTTATTGACGTGACACTTGTCAGTATGGAGTCAGGAGTCCAGGTTGTGCTGAGGTCCACATGGACCCTTAACTGCCCACTCGCCTGTAATGCGACTAATGAGCTCAACAGCTCTGCATCGACATCTGTCTGAGCAACAGAGGCAGAGATACCCTGGCTTTTAGTCCCAAGTAGGGGTCAAGGTCCAAAAAACACTGGAAATCTTGTAAGATGTTTGATTCTTTGAACTGCTGCTTTGTTGGACTGCTGAAACTATATATATCAGAGAAAATGTAAGTTGGAGGTATGTGGAAATCAACATAAAATAAAATTTTAAACATTTAAAAAAAAATAAAAAAACAGGGGACACAAAAGGGCATATAGGCAACACATGAATAAAATATATAACCAAATTACGATAAATTAATATGTTATATGAGCAAAATTGTACATGAGAAAAGGAAATTGGAGTCAGACAGCTGATCTGTAGGTTTTTTCTGACAAATAACAAATAATGGGATAGATTTGTTAAAGCTAATAAGTAGGTTATTTTTATAAAATAATATTTTTTTTTTTGTCATTTTTGCTCAAACTTATCAGGATATTGTAAAAAATATACAATACAATAATGACAAAAAGTAGTTTTTATAAAAGTGACCCACTGCAGCTTTAAGTTACCACGGTGGCTTTAGATTCATGTCATGGTCTCTGACACCAGCCGGCAGTCCGTAACAGACTGACTGAAACCCTCAAACTGCTTTCAGCATCCACGTTATTCACGAGTCCACGAGAGGAGAAAAAGGCCCGAGACATTGACGGCAGAGCACGTGCACACAGCCACGTCCGGTCACGTCAGTCGGCGGTGACGCACCCACGCGCCCAACTCTAACATGTTTCTACTCGGACGCCTTAAAGTCAGGGACAGTAGGTTTGCACCACAGTGTACAGGAGCAGGACTCGACTTTACTTCACTTTCGATGTGTGTTTCCTGGACTTTGCGGGTTTCATCGCCTCGTGGAGGACAGTTCGTTCGGAGACCCACTTTTACATGAGTCATATTTCAGCTTTCAAGTTCATTTAAGAGTTTTTGAGAACTATGGCCTGTGAAGGAAACGGTATGTCAGGTAAGCTCGATAACACCCATTTAATGAGCATTGTGTCATATAACGGTGACAGCATTTACACTGCTTATGTTATATAACGCTGTATTTTAACGCGTGTGCACTGATTCATAATGTTGGTTTTATTCCTCCACAGATGAGAGGATAGGGGAGGCCCTGATCAAAGAGTGAGTTTCCTGTTTAAGTTGTTTTACACACTGCATTGAAGATATAAGTTGAAGACAAAAATGACTAACTTTAGACAGAATTGATGATAAAAGCAAACCGGCCAAAAGAAACTAGGAAATAGCCTATCACTGTTTTAAAATGAAGACTTGGTGTCCTAGAAATGAGGGCTGCAGCCAACTCATATCACCATTATCTATTAATACCAGTTAATTCATATTTCTGTCTTAATCATCCCGCAGGTAAGTTTTCATGTTGTAACTTAGCTTTTCCCACTAAGTTATAACCTATTAAAAACCACATTATTAACTGGGTTAATAATCAACCGGTAATAATGAAACTGGCCTAAAGCAGGTCATTTCCTCAGGCCAGTATATCTAACATCCACAGCTGAACACAGGGATAAAAGCCTGAAGACAACTCTTTGTTTACCTGAAGGCTTTGCTGCAGGTTTGTAACTGACAAACAACCAAACTCTGCACCGCCAGATTCCTTCTTCTTTCAGGAGTTTCAGTTTTAGTTTCATGTTCCAGTGAACGCTGTGTGTTACGATAAACGGATACCCATCATAAACAATGGGTTGTAACTGCTGTCATGTGACTCATGTGCCATAGGAAGATAAGAAATAGAGAACGTGACTGAAGTGTGTAATCCTTTTGATTGTTTCCCGTAATCTTAAACATGGCAGTATGCACCAGAATCAGCCGCGCCATCTTTTAGTGCATATCTATTGTTCCATCAGCAGAGCTTTTTCCACTGCAGGAGAAAGGTTGAGCACAACATCCTGTCAGTGGTAGCCTTAAAAACCACAGTCTGGTTGTTTGACTGCATTCTTTTAGTATCCTTTGGGTTCTGGGAAGGCATCTCACGTCAACAATATCATGTCAGGGGGAAACTTTCCAAACCCGGGCCAGAAAAAGATCTGGAAGTCCTGTTTACATTTGTTAAAAATCTGGGGACTTTGCACTCACAGAGCTGGATTTGTTATGGGACCTTAGATTTCTTCTGTTCGGACTATTCCTGATGCTTTTTTGAAACTATTTTAGAGGAGCTCCCACATGCTCCCACATTCTGGCATGTTTGACACAGCACATGTGATATACATATATATATATATATATCACAACAGTCCTTCCAGAAAAATGCGTAGTTTTTTTGTGATTGTTGCGGGCAAAAATCCTTGATTATGCGGCACGTTTTCTTAAAAAATGCGATGGAATATGCGGGATATTTATGCAATTTTATGC